GGAAAGAGATTTAAAAAGTCGGGTGTGCAACACTGAATGGGACGGGGGTTGTCAGCAGCTTCCCACAGCCTCAGATTTTTGCCTGTGTGTGTAATCTCTGTTAGTGAGTCTTCAGTGTCTGTTTGGTCACGGAATACATAGGGAACAAACGTACAGCCCAAACTAGGGGTCTAATTATTTGTGTACAAACTCACGTCCCATCCGTAGCCCCTAAATACCTGTTAGCACATGCAGCACGGCTGCTCACCCACGGTTTCAAAGGAAGGTCAGCTTTTCCTTCGCTCAGCTTCTGCTGGACATGTGTTTCCTGAGCGATGCCTAACATCAGCCCTCCAGACGGATTTGTCCTGGAAATCTAGAGCGGACTTTGCCGTCGAGGACAGACTGGCAAGCAGCGCATCCAGTTGCAGCCTTGGTTGCTTTGATGATCGTGTCTCTCCCTTCTGATCGCTTTGGCCAAATACTACCCCCAGTAAAACTGCAATAAAGGTGCAGTCAGGAGAAGGAAACAGCATTGACTGAGGTGGAGTTTCAAATCTTTTATTATTTAGCTTTGCCAAACAGATAATGGAATCTGAAGTTGATTTGCTAAAACGTTTTGAAGTGGATGCCACTCCTGCCTGAGACAGAGAGGACCTCAGTGGCAGCAGGGACCCTTAGGCTATGGCAGCAGTTCAAAAGAACACTTTTAATTTTGTATGCAACAATGTAAACTTCAAAAATAGTAAACTATAACCTTTCCCCTCCCCTTTTTTTTTTTACATAGCATGTGATCTATCACAGATAGAAATTTAATGGCGAACCAAAATCGCGTTAAGTAAACATCCTGGTGCTTACAAGTTTCATAAAAAGTGTTACATTTGATGTAAATATCTTACATTTTTAACTCTTAACACTCACAATTATGGAGTAAAAGCAACTGGCGATTCACCCCCTTAGTCCGTGCTCTCAGACTGTACATCAGCAACCACGCTCTTGCCAGCCCCCTTGATCATTTTCCATCGGATTCTCCCACACGGGACCAAGACTCCCCCTTCCTCACATTGCTGTTAACCAAGCGCAGCTCCACACAGGGGTAAAACCTGTGCAAGTGAGTAGAGGACCCGGTCTCCTGCCCGTAAACTTGCGGTCCCTCAGGCCCCGCGTTCCCACAGAAGCCACGGCGTGTATGGGGAGGGGGGGGTCACGTCCTGATGTCGGTGGGAATTTGGGGTCCCCCGGGGCCGCAAGCCTGAGCCCCGCCATTGCAAGTGCCTCGCGGCAGGACCTGGTTCTGCGTGGATAAAGACAAGAGTTCTGTAGAAGGCACTGGATTTCTCTTGCATGATTTTAAACGTGGACTACAGTCATGTGCAGAATAAGGAGATTTGGGGTCTAGACTGCTTTCTCTCTAGTGCTTTAGTGCAAGCAGCATTTTTAGCGCTTGAATTTTTTTCTCCTGGTTGCAGTGCAACATGCGCTCATCTACATAGAATGATTTCCAAACCTCCTTCCTTCCACTCTTCCCCCCCATCTTCCCGTCCCCGAAAAGATTCCCTTTTTGTTCCTTGAAAACTTTCAGAGTACAGCTCTGGTCAAAAATAAACGTGTGATGTAGCATAGCATTTGTTTCTTTTAAATCACAGTGTGCAATGCATCATTCGGTACCTAATGTTCAAAATGTCTGCCCTGCTTTTCATGAAAATCATTCTTTAAAATAACCTATGCAAATATATTTTGACTATATATTACATTCATTTAAAAAGAGAAGAGAGGTTCTTGGTTTGCAGGTTTGTTTTTTTTTCAGTGTACTACTTAAGTGAAAGGTCTGATGTGAAAAAAGTACAAGCAAACTGGACATGCCAAGACGCGATGCCTTAGATGGTGATCATATCAAAACTGTACAGGTATGTACACCGTGTCGGACAGGTGTGCTTCTTCCCAAGAAAAGACCTTTGCATCATCATATATAAGGTTAACCACAAAGTTTTGGTAAAAAGAGCATTTAATGAGCAAAGGATGACATGGAGGGGCGAGTTCTCCGGCTTTTGTTAGGCAGTCCCGAAGCAATGTCTCCATTCCCTTCGGGGATTTCGTCCTTCTTCCGGACTTTGAGACGCGTGAGGAGCTTTATTACCCAGACGTCCCATTCCTCTGGCAAGAGCAACAGGAGGAAGCCCAGGCCAATAATGACGATGGCGATTACTCGGACACTGTTGAAGACAATTTCACTCGTGTAGTGATCAACAACTGTGTGGGACATTGAACGGGTGTTATTACGTGGGACAAAGCATTAGGGCAGTATCCCCTTCCCTTCCCCTCGCCTCCCCGGCTCTGAAGGCTGGCTGTGCCAGCAGAACATGGCCACGGAGGTGATGGTGGCGAGGAGAATCCCCTTCCTTCTGGTTTAGCACACAGCGGGGTACGGCCCCGCTTCCCAGCAGGCAGAGCTGGGCCGTGGGCTCGGCGTGCAACAAGGGCACGATGCCTGGAGCTGCAGTTGTTGTCTGCAGCAGCAGCATCTTCACCTTTGCTCGCCAACAGCACGGGAACTCCCGCTGAGGTCCGGGTACGCAGAGAAAGGGGCATTTCCCTTCCCCGGCACAGCAGTTCCTTCACGCAAATGTTTCTTCCCACCCTTGACTTCCCGGCTGAGTAAGAAACCCTCAACCGCAGAGCCGTGATCACGCTTTGGTGGGGAATCTCACCGTTGGGCACCAAAGGCTGCCGGGGCAGCCAGCGGTGCGTGTAGGTCAGCACAACGCTGGGCACTGCCGCCGGCACCGTGGCACCGGCTCCGCAGGTGGGGTTTGAGGGGTCTGGTTTGGGAGAGGTGGCTCTGGTTTGGGGTCGCCTCTGCACCCCCTGCCCAGCCCTCTCGGGCTCTGCGGTCTCTTGGCTTTCGCTCAATTGCAGAAAACTGCCAGAGGACTGTACCAGGCCGTGCCCCAAACTGACCTGTCCGGTGCTTTTGATAAACACCTGCCATGCTGTTGAGCAAGGCAAGCAGAATTACTAGTACATATTTGCCCTAAAATGTAAGCAATTTTATTTGTTTCAGTTTAGTGTAAAGCCTGCCTTGAAGAAATCATGAAGAATTGATTTCTACTTCATCCACGAGTTTTCATCCCAGCCCAGAGACAGATGACTTCAAATCTACTTTGTTTTGCAGTATGCAGGCTTCTCTGGACAGGAATTTAAAAAGCAGTTCTAGAGATTATGAATATTCATGTAATATTATACAATACATATTTAACACATAAAATACACATTTTAAATCAGCGTCATCGCCGTAACCCTTAGAGAGAAGATGCAAAACACGTTTAATAGAGCCATTTGCTTTTATCCCTGTTGTGTATTCGAAAGGCCGCAGATTGAATGTATTCATTAAGATGCACAAGGCAGAAATCCTTACCCGCATTCACGGGGACGCTCAGTACAATTCCAAGAGAAATCAAGGTAGGGTAGGTAATAGCAATCCCAAAATTTAGTAGAATATTGAATGCTGCAGAAGAAAAGAAAAACAGCTTTTACTGCAGTGAAACCAGGCAGAGGGAATGTCACCTGAAACTTTTATGCTTTCTGACTCCCTCTGTACGCTGTTCGAATAGAAGGCGTATTGATTTCTGCTGTTGTTCCTGGACGGTACCTGTGGACAGCCGCCTGTCCGCGGCGTGTCCGTCTGCCTGAGACGTTGCTGTTTCTGGGGAAGGCTCTGTCCCGCTGGAGCCCAGAGGTCCGGGTACACCCTGGGATCTCCCCGCTCTGTACCAATCCGCTCTGCCCTGAGACCAAACGCTTCTCGTCTGGGAGATCTCAGCCACACGGTCCCTTCTGTCTGGACATATTTTTTTTTTTTTGTAGAAAAGCTGCCTCCAGCTGCAGGTGGAAGATGCTGTACATCTAACCCTCTTCCAGACAGGAACTTGCTAAATGTAATTTCATACAATGAAATTATAATATCATTACAACGGAATGATTATAATATCACTCCGTTGGAATACCATGCATGGAGTGTCTCATGACAAATCAAGAATTGCTTTGGACCAAATTCCCCCTTGTTTTAAGGTGATGGGCTTTAGCAAAGTCGGGAGAGCCTCGCCAATACTGAAGGCGGCAGGAGCTGGGGCTCTGACTGTCTTCTAGTAGTACCTATACCTTGCACCTATACTATAGCTAGTACCTATACCTTGCACACCCCAGCGATCGCTTGCCGAGTTCTGCACTACTTGCTTACAGAAACCTTCCATGGAGTCCACGGATAAATAAACCGGAGGTACTTCTAGAGTCTAGCGTTGTGACTGTTCAGGGTAAAGGGAGCTGGGACTCGAGATAAGGATGGAGAAGGGCTATTTCCAGTAGAAATGAAAGGAACGTCTTAGGCGATGCAGTGCCGTCATCCAGTTTAGGGACCAACTGTGGCAGCACAGTCAACACATCTAGTTTAACAAGGAACAGCATCACATTGCTGATGACCATGAGTCATTAAAGCTTAGCTTTGGCATCCCTCCCAAGCTGGGTTCAGGTTTGGCATCCCTCCCAGGCTGGTGGCACAGCAATGGCAGCAGAAAAGAGGAGTGCCACCTACCAAAGTCCCATCAGCGCCGTGCAACGCTACATTTTCAGAAGTTTCCATAGCAATTATCTATTATCGAAGTCAGCAGAGGCACCGGAGTCTGGCCTTGACTGGCCTGGCCTAACCTGCTTGGCCGGGGGATGCCGATGAGCCCAAGGGGATGCTGATGAGCTCAAGGCGATGCCTTGCTTCCCATCACAGCCCGGGCAAGTGTCACTTGTCTCCGTGAAGCAGAGTTCATGAGTAGGAGTCAGGACAAGCTTTACAGTTTAGTCCCACAGCACCTTCTAACGAGGGCCACAATATTTTTGGCTTGGTAGTAACAGCAGAAGTGGCATCAAGTTGCCACCTAGGAATGGACCCTCTGCATGATTGCTCAAGCGAATAATTAGACTGAGAAGAAAGGAAACCAGCCCCAGTATGTCAGAGGTCTGCAGCTTCCACCAGCAGCCAGTTTGTGACACCCTCCTCCACCCCGAGCAGTGCGAGAGCCCCCATCTACTCACTCAGTAAGAGAACTGAAAATCCGCAGAGGTTTCCCCAAGGAATGATGTCAAAAGAGCTCCAGTACTCCACTTTGGTAAAATAAAGGATGACAGGAATGCAGGTAACGAAGAGGACGTTGAAGACAGCTAACACAGACAGGAATAAGGCAGCTTCTCCAAATTTAGCACTGCCCAAAAGAAGTTTGAATAAAACCTACAAGAGGAAAACACATGGGTTTAACTCTCTTGCATCGCACCTCCGGAGGGCTGGTGTCCTGGCTCCAGTGGCTCCTGGCATCCTGACCCACTGGGGCCGAGGGGCTGGGTGCTGAGCAGCGTCAGTCAGCACCCATGTGGTGATGCTTGCCGGACACTTGAGATGGCTCCTCGTGAAGCTGTGGAGAGCAGCTCGTGTGCCCCAGCCTTCTCCCTCCTGGCACCCCCCCTGGAACAGAGGCAGGGGCAGCTGCCAAATGAACCCAGGCGGGAAGGGGACTCGGCACCTTTGGCTGTGCAACTCCCAAAAGGGAATGTCGTTCACCCTACCCTTTGGTCTTTTTTTTCTGCATGCTCCCTTCAGGAAAACCTCTGGAAAATTTGACATTAAAACCAAAAGACTTGGTGGAGCGGGGCAGGAGGGAGGAGAGGAAGCAACGTATGTGATCTCCCTGCATGAGCATCACC